TGAATGGCAAAATTGAAATATGGGTCAAATTGAGGCCGCGATCTATTTCACAGTTGGAATGAATTTTTAAAATTTATTTAGCATTTTTCCTGGAAAGATCACAGCAAAATCTACCATGACTTCAATTTTCAGGTTTTTTCACCCATTCTTCTGAGCTCGAAAACTCGCTGAATTTTGGAGTACTTGGCCCACACATGGCTGAGTGGCAAAAATGGAAAATGTGCCGAATCGATGATTATTTTGCGGTCTAAATGATTTTTTGAAAATGTTCTGATACTTTTCCTGGAAAGAACACGACCTCATTTATGGACTCTCAAAATTGTCTGATTTTTCTGCGGATTCCTCTGAACACAGAAAATCGCCAAGTTCCTTCTTGCAAAACGCCTATTTCGTTCCGCCTGAAGACTGGCCTCAACGCCTGGGCCTGAGGGCCCTTTTGCAGTTCACATGCCCTCATTTCTTTTTGGGGTCCGCTACCAACCGAGGACCGGTCCTTCCTTTTTTCAAAAGTCCCGGTTCTACCAGAGCTAGCTGTAGGTAGTCCGCAATTTTGCCAAGGACCGGTCCCCCAATTTCTTTTGCCCCCTAAGAACCCACTTTGTGTCCTGGTCGCCCTCCGCCAAAAATGCGACACCTTGACACAGACGCTGAAGCCCACTATACCGCAGCCTTAGGGCTGCGAAATACGAAATAATGACCATGCGTTCTCTTTGGGGGAAGACAGTAGATGAGGGTCCAGTCCAGTCCAGTCCAGTCCAGTCCAGCCAGTGCGGAACCCAGGTAGATTACCCCCTTGCGCCCCCTCGAATAGAACACACGGTCAAACCACCAGCTCACGTGAACACCGAAGTAGTGCTCTTACCAGTCTAAGCAGTAAGAGGCTGGTAAGAAGAAGTGCAGATCTTTTAACCCTTCTCATGTGAAGGAGGGGGAGGGAGGGGGAGGGAAGGGGAGAGAGAGCGAGAGAAGGTGACGGAAAGAACAGGAGAGCAGATGTGAGGAATCGGGGGAACGGAGGGTTTTGTCCTGTCGTCCTTAGTCCATGGCCAAGCCTGCAGAAGCCAGGACATATAGGGGTGGTGCTTTTTTGTGGGAATCGACATCTAGGATTGTCTTTTATGTTTTTTCTTGTTGTCGGTGCTGTCCCAGTAATTTAGTTTAGACCAGCGACTGTCTCTTATACACATCTAGATGTGTATAAGAGACAGCCTTTTGGCTGTGTGCAAGTGGGTCGATATGCACACGGGGGTGGGGGCAGCCGCCGCTCAACCTACATCCACGTGGGCGGCCTTGTACGCAAGAGGTTTTGAACAGGGGGAGTTCAAGGAAGAAGATAAAAAATGATTTCACTTTTCTGGTTTTTTTTTTTTTTTTTTCCGCTTTTGCGCTCTGATATCCTGTGACAATATATATACATAAGAAGATGGATGGCAGGACTCTTCTTTTTCTCTTTTTTCTTTAATGTTGTGCACTTTTGTCTTTTTGGTAAGAGCCACTTGGTTTCTAGCTGCGGGTGCAGTTCAGTGCAGTCCAGTTGAGGTCGAGTCAGTCCATAGCCTGGGGTCCCAGGGAGGCTGACGGATTTTCGAGAAATGTCTGAAAGGCTGAGTTGCCAAGCTGGCAAGCAAGGTACCGGGCCAGGCGACTGGGTCTGCCATGCAAGGGGGGGAAGCCGAATTGTTGCATTAAAAAAAGGGAAAAATTGCATCTGTACCCCATTTTAAGATGGAAATACCCGCTATAGCCAGTCCTGCCGCCCAACTTGCATTCAAATTGCAGTCATACCCAACTACCAGAATGCTAAAATTATGCACATACCTGGCAAATTATTTGCTCGACCGAGGTGGGCCTTGGTTGGTCCTGCCAAATTGCAGCTATACTAACTACTGGAATGCTTACGCTCAAATTATGCACATACCTGGGCAAATTATGTGCATACCTAGCCTACCAGCCGGGCTGCCCGGGTCACCCTATTTTTCCGGACGGCCCGGCCGTGCAAGGACCAGGGAAGGTCCTAGTAAAAACAAACGAAAAAAAGAAGAAAAAAAATCCAAAAAAAAACTATGTTATGCAGAAAAATAAACTGAACAAAAAAACAAACGAAAAAAAGAAGAAAAAAAATCCAAAAAAAAACTATAAAAAAAACAAACGAAAAAAAGAAGGAAAAAAATCCAAAAAAAAACTATGTTGTGCAGAAAAATAAACTGAACAACTTATACAAAGTTCGAGTAATAGATCTAGGAATAAAACCAATTGTCTCATAAGCTATTGAATCAATATTAGTAAGAATACCTAAATGAAATTTTTTTTGTTTTTTTGGATTTTTGGCTTGTTGTGAATCTCAGGGTCACATCGAAATTCTTTACCAAATGTAAAATAAAAAATAAAGTTAAAAACAATTTTTAATTTTAATTTTAATTTTAATTTTTTTTGGCCCTGCCGGGCAAGTGGCCCCGGGCCACTCTGGTAGCCTAGGTGCATACCCAATTTCGCCCTCCCAGTTTCTGGGCATGAGCATAATTTTGTGCTCCCCTACCGGCGGCCTGTGGGACAGGGTACACGTATAAGCTGGCGCACGGGGAAAGTAGGGTATTACCTTGAGTCAGACAGGGTCTGGCTATAGATAGAAGGTTGTGTACCACAACTTGGTATATAGCCCGAATTCCCATCTTTAAACCACCAGCGCATCGCCCAGGCAAACTTGACAATCGAAAAGGAGGTATTCCAAAACGTTTGGAGGCGTGGGGCCGTGGGTCCTAAATAGCAGGCGGCGCCAGCAAAAATAAAGAGAAAAGCGCCGCTGGCGTTTCAGCAACACTGATGCATAGGGGAACACTAGGGGGGAATCCGCTGCGGCAGAAAGAGGCCCGGATGTGCTCGTGGTTTAAATGGGGTACAGATTCAATTTCCCCCCCCTTAAAAAAAGAATGCACAGCAGCTGCTGTGGTCATTCAGTTGTTCATTCATTCATTCAGAACACACTCAGACTAATACTTTTTCTTCCAAGCTCTGGACGTGATTATGGTCACATTCATCCAGGTGCCACCGCAAGTGCGGTCGGATACATACATTCCCGACAGTGTTAGTGTGAGTATGCCCTCGTTCATTCATGCATGGATTCATTCACTCTGCTTGCGCATGCTGGTGTGTGGGAGCGCTGCTGCGCTTAAAACCACCACTATCCCTGCCGTCCCAAAGTCGGGAAGACCGGTAGCACAGGTTGAAGAGGGCTGCCGGTAGCACAGTGGGGAGAACCAGGGGAGTGGAAAATGCGTTGACTGACAATGCGATTTATTTTGCAGTTTAGGCGATTTTTTTTTTTAATAAATAATTTTCCTGGATAGATCACGACCATATCTATGGACCCTCCCATTTTCAGATTTCTTGAAACATTCTTTTGATCGTGAAAAATCGCTGAAGTTGAGGTACTTTTCCCGTTGGCCCACACGTGGTAGAGCCGTAAAATAGAAAGTGAGACGAATCAGTGTGGCGTTTATTTCACGGTCGAAGATATTCTTTTTAATTTGTAAAAAATATTTTTCCTGGCAAGGCCATGACGAAATCCACAGACCCTCTCTGATTTTCAGAGTTTCGAGTCATTTTTCCGAGCGTAAAAAATCGTGGAAGTGGGGGTACTTTTTCCGAGTGGAAAAAGTGGAAAATGTGAGGAATCAGTGCGGCATATATTTCACGGTCCAAAAGATTGTTTTTTATTTATTTATTTATTTATAATTTTCTGATATTTTTCCTGCAAAGATCACAATCTAATCTACAGGATCTCAAACTTTCAGATTTTTTCATTAATTCTTCCGAGTGCGAAAAATCGGCAAAGTTGGCGCTTGAAAGTCGAGGGACTGGACCCGCCTGCACCTGCTGGTCGCGACTCTCCGGGAATCCTACTGTTGACCGTTTTCTGCGGCCCCGACTCTCCGGGAATCCTACTTTAGGCTGTCGGGGGTAGCGGTGGTTTAAGCAGCAGAGCAACTGAGTGAGGAGTGAAGTAGCCAGTAAATAAAAGGAAGAGGGTAGGTAATTAAAAAATAAAATGAAAAGAAGGAACTATCCGGAAAAAAAAAGAAATAAAAAAAGAAGGAACTATGCAGCCAGTAGTCAACAGGGCACTGCACACCATAGCTGTAGGAAGGGGTGCAGTTGTCAGATGCATTTTCTTATGCCTGTAGAGGGACTTATGCATGTTACCATAATTACGACCATATTCATTTGAAATTTGAAACACCGTCAGTGTGAATATGCCTTTACTTTTTTTCTTTGTTTTCCGACTTGCGGGCCCATCCCATGCTGTGGATTTTGCTTCGTAAGAGTGTACACACTCTCACCCATCTCCCTTGCTTTCCTCTTGGTCTGTGTTTTCCTTTTCCTTTTTCTTTTCCTTCTCTTTGTGGTGTATCCAGGAAGTGGTGGATGGAGAAGAAGAGCTGGAGCCCTCAAGGTACAGAGAGAGGACAAGGAGCTTTTTCGATTTTTCTGATCTTTTTCTCTTTTTTTCCGTTTGAACTACCAGCTCGCCCGAGCCTGTTTTGTTGAGCCAGAAAAAGCCCGCCCAGCCTGAAAAGTCACTCCTACAGCGTTTACACATGCATCTTTGATTGAAATATGCATCGGTTTAACATCCCTGATGTTTTTGGGAATTTTGGGTATAGCCAGAAATTAGAATTTTAAAATCGCCACTTGGAATCTTGCTCACCCCTAGGTAGGTTTGGTTAGGCTGCCCCTGTGATTTTGCTCCATGTATACCAGTGACGGCCCCACACTGGTGGTTTAAATTTGTCAGTGGGAATCCGACGAAAGCCATGTTCATCATTTGCTTTGTTGCTAGGAAACCGCGCGAAGAAACTCAAATGAAAAGCACCATGAACTCTCTTGACCGTGTGTGTGTGTCTGTGCTCTGTGTGTGTGTGTGTGTGTTGTGTGTTCTGTGTGTGTGTGTGTGTGTGGTGTGTTGTGTTTGTTTGTTTGTGTTGCATGTGTGTGTGTGTGTGTGTGTGTGTGTGTGTGTGTGTGTGTGTGTGTGTGTGTGCGTTTTCTGTTCTTATTGTCACGTGCAGTGGCTGGGGGTTTGCTGATGTAATCAAGACACTGGCTTTGAAGGTGAGTTGGCTGCACCTGGGTTTCTGGATACAATGATTGTCTTGATAAGATATTGAAATTGCATTATTGTTTTCTCTTGTCGAAGTGCCGTAAACCTTGCCATGAACCTTGAATTGTTATTCACAGACCAGCAGGTTGTTTTCCTCTACCCTCGCCACTGTCATCATTGTCATCTCCATCTCCATCGCCATCCCTGTCGTCTTCACCATCTCCATCGCTGTTGTCTTCACCATCAACAATCTCCATCTCCATCTCCATCTCCATCTTCTCGTTCCATTGTCTTAGCGCTGGTTATCTTTGCCTCCATTTATATGTTTCTTTTCCATGTACCTGTTGAATATTCCGGACATGGTGGCCTGTATCTCTTGGGTGAGGTCATCCCATCTCCGCTGGGTCATGTGATCCTCAAACTTAATCTGGCTCCCTGGGTTACTGAGGCACTTCTCGTCAAAATACTGCCGCTCCCCAGAAGCGGCTCCCTGTCGCTTTCCAGGTGGCGACCAATTACTGTCCAGCACCACAAGCAGCTTGCCAAATGAGCCCAGACTACAAACCAACATCATACGTCATACCAAGTGCTTGTGGTGTTGGATAATAATTGCTCGCCGCCTGGAAAGCGACAGGGCTCCCTGGATTTTCTTCCTTTGCCAGCAGACCACTTCCCTCCCAGGCGATGCTTCACCTCTGCATGCCCACCAGCTGTAGCCACGCTGAGAAGACGGAGTTCGCTCTGATACCATTTTGCAATGAGCCCAGGCTACAAACCAACATCTCACGCCATACGAAGTGCAACACTTCAGCACACGAGAGATAAAAACCAAAACACGTGATATGAGAACTTTGGAAATATCAAAGTCTTGTACAGCAAGTTTGGACACTCCAAGGTTGCACGGCTATGGTGGCCAGCAAACAACAATCAACGATGATGACCTGTCACTCTCGATCCTCAGGCCTCCCTCCCTCCCTCTCTCTCTCTTCTGAATGTCCACCATTGCTATGGTGACTCTCAGCCGCGCTTCCTGTCTCACTCGTGAGTTGGGCACACTACTGCTCAACAGCGCTTCTGCAGCAAGCACAAATGGAAGAAGAATGAATGTGGACAGCTACTGCTGGCTGTCCTTACGTATGGGATTCAGCTCCTTAGCCCTTGGATTTGTTGGCCCAGCACCCGGAAACCTGCTGCCTTTGGTCTTTGTTGCCCTTTGACGTTTCCAGAATGTTCATTTTGACTGCCCTGGGACCCTGGAGTGCTGACCTACCTGAGACTGGGCTGGACCGGGCCAGACGGGACCGTTCTAGCCTATTGAGTGCTTACCTGATCTAGACTCGGCCTATTTTACCAATAGAGATGGTGCATTTGTGGTTGAGGTCATTATCATTATGTCTAGAGGCCCAGGCGTGAGGTGGGGGAGAATGAGGCTCTGCTTTTTGTTCTCTTCTGCCGTTTCTGTCCATTTCATTTATTGATTTTGGTTGGTCGAAAGGGGGTAGCCCCTGGCATTATTGTATTTGTTTGATTTCATGTGGATTTGAACTGATGATGATCGCTCAGTAAAGAGTTACGGGTGCGTACCAGTTAGCTGCAGGCTCCGGGTGTGCTGTGTGTTTCATTTGTTCAACTTCATTAGGATTTTTGTTTGATGTTCCACCAGGGTTGGAATTCTTAACAGGGTGAGTTACTTGTGTGTGCTATTCATTTGAATGTCTTCTGCAAAAATGTGAAGCGGTTTCAGGCAGAGGCTAAGAGCCACATGTAATTGAAGCGAAACCGCTTATTGTCAATCACAGTGGGAAGGTACTGATTCAATGTTGTGTTTGATCTGTATGACTTGTGTGATGTGCTCAATGATTTGCGCGGTTTGTCACGAATTCAGTCAGAGGAGGTGATCTCCACGTACCAGCGTGACTTGCAAGAGTTCGGATTTGGCCTGAAGAAGGAGACCGAGACAGTGGTTGATGCCACAACTAACGTAATCGCTGATCTTCCACAGCAGCTTGCTGTTGGAGGACCATCTTCTCAGGTGATTGGCTTTTATGCAATGTAATTCCTCCCCCCCCCCCCCCCCTTTTTAAAGAGGGCGACGACCTTGAAATATCATCCTTGCAGTGACCGGCCCCAGGTAATTCAGAATGATTTTTTATTTATTTATGTTTTCGATCGTCTAACTGTAACTGGATTCAAACTTGGGTCTGTATTTCAACAGTTCGTGGGTATAATTATGTTACGTTTGATATATTTAGAATCTAGATCTTGTTGCTCTGTCTGGAGTTAGTTCAGGGAAAAGGAGAGTGAGTGCCACTTACCACATCCAAGATTTTACGCTTGTGTAGCAGGATGTGAACATGGCCGGATGCATCTTGGTTGGGAGGTGTGGATGTAAATATGCATTCTGACATTCTAAGTCAAGCTCTGTTTTCTGGAGCTCCTGATCTACGGATAGTAGTTGGTAGGTTATACTCTGGGACTGATAAGCCTGAGGTAGGCCGCTGAACGGTCGGCATCAATGGACTGTCGGTGTGTGTGCTTTGTGAAAACGATTGAGCGGTTGTCGCCACTGTCCATTCTATCAAATTGGCTGAGTACTGGCGTACTAGCATGAAAATTGTAATCATTTTCATGTGATAGTAATATAGATACGGAATGAGACATACTCGATTGTACATCTCTTTCGAGTCAGTCGTTACGGGATCTGACCGCCAAACCTCAAATTGATGGCCTGGTGGCCTCGCCAAACAAAAAGTGAGGAGAGAAGGCATGAATGTTGTCAGTGCACTGTGTATAATGGATTCTGGGAACAGAGGCCAGGGAAGTTGTCAATGCATCTTGTGTACTAGTTGATATGCACGAGTTCTGCGATGTGTCGAATGCTTTGCGCTTGTTTTTTTTAACGATACAGTCAGAGGAGGTCTTCGCTACAGATCCGCACATGACTTGCAAGAGTTCGGATTTGGCCTGAAGAAGGAAACCGAGACTGTTGTTGGAGCCGCGAGTAGTGTAATTGCTGATCTTATCCAACAGCTTGCTCTTGGAGGACCATCTTCTCAGGTGACTGGCCTTTATGGTATATATATAACTCATATTAGATTAGATGCCGTTTATGTTTTGCTACGTTAGATATGTTTTGAAACTGAAATTTTGATCCTCTGTCTGGAGTTTCAAGTTCAGGAAAAGGAGTGCGAGTTGCGCTTATCACATCCGTGATTCTACGTCTGCTTAGAATTTCAATATCTGATTACTGCACATGGAGCATTCCAGGAGGTGAATACGGCCAGGCCAGTCTTTGCAGACTTTATCATATTTAGTATTTACTGGGCAGTTCTGTTCGACGATTTATTCTGACGGTGGCGACCCTGGAGCCAAGTTTGATTGGTAGTTCCTCTTCCTGGAACATTGTGGCAATTATTGCTCTTTCCGGGTTAATTGGACTGCTATTCCTAAGTCGGGTCAGCAAGCCAACTGTGTTGCAAAGGGCTATGTTCCTCACGCCTGGTGCCTTTTCTCGTTACTCTTCAACTGGACATTAGTGTGGTTCTGGATGACGTTCACATTTTTTGTACCTGAGAAATGCGTTCAGACTTTCTGCATGTCATAAAGCCTTACCCTTGTCCTCCCTCCACTCTCCGGCCGCTTCTCATTCTTTGTACGTGTCCTCTGTGTAGCCTCTTTCTCTTCCTTTTGATGTGTTTTTGATGCAGTAATGCACGCCTGCGTCCACTGTGTCTGTATATGCGGATTGGCTTCCTGTCTTGGGTCTGATTGGGGCTGTGGGGGTAAGCTAAGAGGCAGCGAAAATCATAACGAAGACACTGGTCGAGTGGTTGCTTAGACTGGTCTGAATGCTAAATGCAGCTCTAGTCTGAAGGTCCTTCTGTAACGACTTTTGGTAATAGAAGGCATGTATGTCGCTGCGGCATGTCGTGTAATTGCTGCCTTTCGTTGTAGGATAGCAGCAGGTGGGTTCTGCTCTAGGACTGATAATCACTGATAATGCTGAGGCAGGCTGGTGAGCAGCCAGCATACATGGACTGTGGGTGTGCTTGCTTGGTGAAAACGATCGAGCGGTTGTCGTGACCGTCCAGTCTATTATGCGGCTTGCTTTCCACTGGTTTCTGGGACAGAAGGCATGGACATCAGCATCATCAAATCACTGTGTGAAATGTATTATGTGAACAGGCGGCCTGGGAGATTGTCGATGCATCTTGTGCACTACCATCTTCACTCGCATAGAACGCCCGATCATTATCGCTAAACCGAGACTGAGAAAGTTGCGCCAAACTACAGGCTGGAATGACCATGCACTCTGGTAGTTGCCTTGCGGCCAATCGGTCTTTTACTTGGGGGACGGCAAGTGAGATGTATGCTGCAGGCTAGAAGTGGACACACAGGGACAATGGTGATGCACTTCTTTTCCTGGCATCGTCAGAGATTTGCAAGTGCACAAGAGGAGTGCCTTGGTGGATTCACGATGCCATTTTCCAGCTCAACGATTCGGACCCACTCCTTTCCTTCCCCTCCCCTAGGGACTGGTGATGCACTTGTTTGGCTGGAATCATTAGAGATTGGGAAGTGCACGCGACAGGAGTGCCTCAGGAGATTCACGGTGCCACTTCCCAGCTCAATGATTCTGATCCACGCCTTTCCCTTCCTCCCCCCCGCTCCCCACCCCCCTCCCTCCCTGCGGCGGCCATTTGGCATAATGCCACTGTCCACTACAGCTCTGATTTCATGATGGCAGGGTGTTCTCCCTTGTTTGAATACGTGGTTGCTTTTGTTGGAGCTGTGGCATCCTGTTTTGCGGCGATTACAGGGGTTTTATGAAATTATTTAAAAACTGCTATTGCTTATTCTGCTCGTAGCCAATTAGTTTATATCATACTTGCGGCGCATTTGTGCGCTGCGCCATGCACACATGGCTGGTGCGCGCACACCTCGCGCATGGCGCATAGGTGCGCTATATGCACATGCGCTATGTGCATGCGCGCGTTACTCATGCGCCGTGCGCTGATGCGCGCGCACCTGCGGGCCATGCACTAGGGTGGTGCGCCAGATGCGCTGCCATTTTTTTTTTTTTTTTTTTTTTTTGGGTGCTCCCACCACCCGTTTGAACTCCGACTCATCGGAAAGGTTCCCTCCCCCCCCCTCTATCTCTCTCTCAATTTAAACACTCTTAGAAATGTCAACTAACAAAAATGGCGGTTAGCCCTCCCTCCTTGTCATCTCTCTCTCTCTCTTCATGTCGTCAGTGAGCTGCTTCGGCAGAGCGGCTGCCGCTGTCACCTGCATCACCGAGAGGCCTTAACAGAAAATGGTGGTCAGCCCCTCGAAGTAAAACCCTCTCCCCTCGTCCAGATCCACCACTCTCCTCTCTAATCCCCCTCGGCTATGCAACACTCCAGCGGGCAACGACGAGCAAATCGAATTGTGGAAACAACATTCTGAAAGGAGTAGGGAAAAAAAAACTGCAAATGCCAAATTGAGATTGTAATTTGGAACGGATGGCAACTAGAAGAAGGAGAGATGGATGGAGAGAGAGGGAGGAAGGAGGAGGGAGAAAGGGAGGAGGGAGAGATGGACGAAGAAGAAGGGAGGAAGGAGGAGGGAGAAAGGGAGGAGGGAGAGATGGACGAAGAAGAAGGGAGGAAGGAGGAGGGAGAAAGAAAGGGAGGGGAGTAAAGAGGGAGTAACGAGTCGACATGTGGAGGGAGAAAGAGAGGACGAAAGAGGCGGGAGAAGTGAGGTGCTGCGTTGAGGGAGAAAGGGAGGAAGGAGGAGGCAGAAAGGAAGAGATAGATGACGAAAGAGGGGAGAGGAGGAGGGAGAGATGGACGAGGAAGAAGGGAGAGCGGAGGAGGGAGAAAAGGAGGAAGCGGGAGGGTGATTGGATGGTGGAGTGTTCGAAGGAGAGAGAGAGGAGGAGGAGGGAAGAGCGAAGAGAGAGAGAGAGAGAGAGAGAGAGAGAGAGAGAGAGAGAGAGAGAGAGAGAGAGAGAGAGAGAGAGAG